TCTCTCTCTCTCTCTCTCTCTCTCTCTCTCTCTCTCTCTCTCTCTCTCTTTGTGTAGAAGAAATACAAAAGAAAGACCCCTGTTGTAGTATAAATTTGCGACTGCACCCACTACAGATTATTCTCGGAAAAACGTTCAGCCTTTGAAATTTTGTTTTTTTTGTTTTTTTTTATTTCCATGTACACTTCTAGAGTATATATCTGTTCAATAAAAAACTGTCCTCCCTCTCTTTTGCATGCTTCTTCGAGCCCCACTGTGGTTTACAAAAACGAGGAACAATGTGAACGGTCTCGATGATGGTGTCAATCGTTATGACGCTACTGTGCTGACCACCGTTTACCTTCTCCCATTGCAACTTCTTACAACCTGTTGTGTGTTCCCTTTCGCTATCCACCTCTTTGTACCATTGCACAAAACAACACTTCTGCATCTCCGCGACACCCCCTGTGCAAGTGTTCATGACGAAAAACATGGCTACCGATGCATACCATATGTTGTCATTCCCGCCTCTCACTGCAACATCGCTGTGCACGTCTCTCCCGTGGAACTAAGGTGAAACTCTTGCCGTTTATACGTCTGCGCCCCTGTGCGTCCCATTGTGTATGGCGGTGATAGTTAAGTGTGTTCGAGTGTGTATCACTTGGTCATCAGATGGAGGTTGACAGTCGTTCTCCGTCATGAACGTCGTGAGCGCAGCTCGAAAATCCTCTCTGCAGGGAAGCTCGTAAAGTATTCTCAATGCCGCGTTGCTTATACCCTCCACCTCCGGCAAATGCACACCATCCATCTGGAACCACCGAAGTTGTAGAGTTGCTGTGTCGCGCGCAGCGAGGGTATTAATTCCAGTGGCCATGCAGTCTGTCACGGATGACCAATTTTCTGCCGACCTCTTTCTCCGTTTTCTCACAATCTTCATCTCATCCTGCAAAGCCAATGAGCGTCGGACATGATTCACCATCTGGGAAGCGGCCTTGCGCTTGTTCGATGCCAGATATGGTTGTTTGCAGAACCTCTGATGATGATGCTCCCATACATCAGCCGCGAAGGTGTCGGGGACACCAGATCGCTCTATGGATGTTCTCAGATGCATAAGGTCGTGCAACTTCGGAATTTTCCAATCCGAGGTTTGATATTTTTCCATCTTCGTTTTTATACTCCTTATGAAATCACCTATCAATGCGTCACATACATCAAGAGAAGTCACAATGTGGGTCGACTTACGAAACACGTGTATGTGCATTCCCATGAGTTTGATGAAACAAGCGCAAATGGATTTGTCTGTCGCACGTGGGATGATATCACAAATAATAAACACGCAAACTGTCATAACATACCGATTTTGCTTCACTTCAAAACGTCCTTCCCTTGAAAAGAAATCACAACCTGTGGCCACGGGCAATACGAGTTGCGGGTATGTCCTCACACATCTCTCACTGATGCTCTGCAGCCTCGCATCGATCTCGTGCAATACCTCGGTTTGCGCGATATCCGGCAACTTCTTATAAGCTGTTGCCTTGAATGCATCTATCATATGCAAGAAAATGTCGTGTTCAATGGTGTGCATACGGTCCGGTTGCAAAGCGAGATGGTAATCTAGTTGAGGATCGTCACCATTCGGACCCCTGTAGAATCCCCAAAGGCCGTTCTCTTCAACATGCTTATGCATGTTCAATTCTGACATTCGTGCCTCTGCGGCACGGCGAATATCGTTGTCCCCATTGTTGAAGCAGTTCGCAGCAAGTTGCGTCTCTAGCGTCTGCGACCTCCTACAGTTGCTGAAATCGGCGATGACATCGAAATCGTCTTTGGACACTGTGCATGTTGGACAAACACCGAATTTCACAGTTGCAAGGGCACACCTTTCGGGATAGTCCTGTACATAGTTCATGACGAAAGGGTGGATTGTTATCTCGCCGAACCGCTCCGTTGTAACTATCATGCCGTCATGGGATGCCTCCTTTGCGGACCGCAATACTGTTGACAACGCTTTATGCAATATCACAGCTTTTCGTTTTCTAAACGCGGTGGACTGCAGACCCCAACCCTTGTCACGTGGCCGGTGTTGAAGCACAGGAAGATACGCAAGGAGTGTGGCGTCTGATGCGAAATCGGCTATTGACATCATCAGAGGATTCGCTGACTGCTTTTGACGATCGTCTACATGAGTCTTGTCTGAATACAGAGACAGAGGGATGACATAACGTGTTTTACCATTCGTGTCCACACCCTTGTCCGCTCTGATAACAATTTGGACATGGTGGCTCAACTGGCCCGTGCGAGAGCCACATATGTTGATCCCCTCCCCGGGAGGTTCTATTTCGAGGCAAGAAACCGTTTCAACGTTATGCAGTGCAGCACATACAAGGTCAGCGAACGTTGTGCGCCAGTCGCGGTACCACAAAATGGCGTGCGCTTCTTCTGGCCAATCATCAGTGCGTAGATTGATCTCTTGCCACCCTGCAGCCTTAGCCTGGCGGCTTGCCCATGTCAGACACTCACGACTGTTACGAAATGCGATATCTCTTGGGTCGAATCTAGGATTTTTTAGAAGTGACAACAGACAGTCAACGTCAGTTTGGGACATGCCCACACCGCCCCTACATGAGAAAATCAGTGCCGCAAGTTTGCGGGAGCTGTCGAATGGCTCTATGTGTTGTTGTTGCTGTTCTTCGGATGCGTAGTCTGCTTCTACATCGGGAGGGGGCTCAACCTCCTCGCTTTCCCCACTGACCAGATTAATGGGACCACTATTTGATGGTCCACCGATAACCCCCCCAACTATCTTTTGTGCCGTCCTCCTGTCTTCCACAGCGGATGGACATGCCCGAGCTCGGTGTGAGTTCATCGTTCGTAATGACATGAAAGGCCGCCCACAGTCACACACGTGACTCGCGCCATCCATTGCAACTACATCCGAGAAATACAAAGTGATGTTACTTGATACCTATCGCAGATGGAGCATGCGCGTTCGGTGTGAAATTCATGAGTTCCTTTCACACTCCCCCCCCCCCCCCCCCCCCCCCCCCCCCCCCCCCCCCCCCCCCCCCCCC